AAAAAAAAACAGACTGATATTGTTTTATGCACTATGCTGAATCTGCTTGAACTGCTGCGGATGTTTTAGGTTAGTGGCAGTCAACAACTTGGAGATAAAGTTGAACTTGAATTCCAAGCTTTCCGTCTTCAACAGTATGAGCTTAATGGGAACATCATCGGTAGCAAGACTTTTCGAGTTCAATACGAGGCCGTATCACTCAGTTCGAAAGCTTTAAGAAGGTATATAATGCACTTTTGCCCGCTTTTCCGATGTATCTATGATTGATTTTTCAAGATGTGTTGTGGCCTCTTGGCGAGATTTGACTGGCTACACTAATCTGGATGATTTGTTGGCTAATAGTGTCGGAGCGCTACTAGTCATAATACCATCTGACTTGGATGCTTTGTCGCCGACTGATAAGACGGTTTGTTAAAAAATTTTCCTCTCTTTTGTGTTTGTGCCACTACTTTCATACTTTTTCTACCTATTCACTTTTTCTTATAGTTGTTCTCTGAGCTGGAGCATAGGTTAGCCACAGTTCGCACAGAAATGGCCGTTTACGTGACACATGCATCTCCTGACGCAAGTGCAATCCTTAGCGATGTGCAGTCTTCATCTGCCACTACAAAATCGGCGACCCAGCAGTTGTTTAATTCTATAGCTGCCAATACATTCCAGGTTCTTTCAATCTATTTTTTTAGGTATTTCAAACGAATTAGCTCTGAGTTGTTTTATACATTTGAATAGTGCCAACAATTTTTTCCTCATATGTTTTTGTTTCAGTTCACTTCCACGGGCTCTCCCTCATCAAATCCCCTCACATACAAACCAAAAAACATCATTGTATGTTTGGATCTTATTTTTTGTTTCATTTGTCATTTACTTGACATAATTTTAACATTAGTATATCAAACAGGTCTTAAGTATCATTCTTTGTTGAGAAGAATTCATGTTTGCTTTTGAACTAGTTTTGCACTGACTTCAATCTTCAAAATTGGTCATTTTCGTAGGGTCGTCTGAGCAGCAGCGAACGCTCAGCACCAACGATTGCCTTCGTTGCTCATTACGATTCACATGCAGCTTTTCCTGTAAGTACACAGTCTAATATATCTTTCCTACGTACATTTTACATACAGGGTGCTGCCGTAGGAGCAGATTCGAATGGTAGCGGAATAGTAGTGTTGCTAGAGTTGCTAGCGATTTTCAGAAAGCTATATGAAAAGCCAGCCACTAGGCCGCCTTTCAATTTGGTAGGTTATTTGAAAACAAAGATGAGATGACAAGGTGTAGTGGACAGTAATGCATAGGTATTTGTATGGACTGCAGCGGGAAAATATAACTATCAAGGTGCAAGACAGTTTATAGAAGATTTCCAGAGTGATAATTCAGGTGAGGCCCTAAACTATCCAGCTTTCTACTCCTTTTTTGATCGCTATACTTCGAGAGTTTTCAGATGACCATCATCTTGAGCTTGCTATCTGCATTGAGGCCCTAGGTGGAGCTGGACCCTTAAAGATGCACGCTTCTAAACAACCTGCTGATGGCTCTGCTGCCGGTTAGTTTCAACAAAATTGTTTTGTGGAATTTTTTCTCCAACTTTTTAAAATATAATTGA